CCACATATGCCAGAGCCTTGAAGTTAAATAAAAAAAGAACTGGAGTTTGTGCAAGGCTGCTAGCTTTTGCTAATTTGTAAGTAACAATACTTTGATCTGTGAGTCTGGAAAAAAAAAAAAAAAGAAGAAGGAAACCGTTTTAGACATAGTACAGCACTTTAAAAAGCCACATGAAAAAGTTCTTTGTTGCTTTAGCATTTATGCAGATGTCCACTTCCTTGCTTTATAAAGTTCACATACTGAGCATTTTTACACAGGAATTTGAAAAAGTATTAGTGCGTGATATGTTTATTGGGAGATATTGGTACTTTAAAATGAATAGAAGGAAGAAAACAAACCAGCTCATCAGCCAGTAGATCAATGGTATCTTCCAGAGTTAATTATTGAATGAAGATTTTTCTATTTTAAGAAGAGAAAAAATATCTCAGAGCATTTTCCATGCAGAAAATACTTACATTTCAGCCTCAATATGATTAAAAATGCCCTCCCAGTGCGCTTGAGGTCTTGCCAGCGGACGGCTTTCTGGCCGAGAGCACACTCTCAGGTTGTCACAGCCTTGCTCGTCCAGCCTGTGACCTTGCTGGGTGTTAGGTGTCTCAGCCTCGCCAGCAGGCTTTGCTGTGTCAGCGAAAGCAAGAGTCGCCTGGCTCCCTTTATAATTCCACACTCTTTTCTGATCTTCTCTTTACATTCCAAAGGGAGAGGGGAAAAACTAAGGTGTACTGAGCACCAGTCAGCATGCGAGGGATCAAGCTGGCATCATGTCCATTGCTGAATCTTCCTAACAAGCCTGGGACCTGGGTATTGTCATCTCCATTTCAGAGAGGAGGTGACAGGCGTGGAGCCCTGGATTTCCCCCAGCATCATGAAGCAGTTACAAAGCGGGAAGCAGGGATTCAGACCCGGTTCTGACTTCAAAGCTCACTGTATCATGCTGTCGCAGTGCTGCTTTTACTTACCCTGTGTGAGATTGTGTTGCTTGGGAAGTTTCAGTGTCTATATTAAATTCCCGTGTCCATGTGGTATACTGGCTGATGCGTAATAGATCTGAACACAGCCGATGCGTGTTTTCTTTCAGCTCCAATAGAAAATCCTTCATCCCATCATGGTGAACTGCATCAAAATGACATTCCCCAGACAAAGAGGTGCAAAAAGGATTCTCTGGAATAGCGAAACCCTAAGATAAGACCTAAACCAAATCACATTTTAAATCATTGACTCTTCATTCTTTCTTATAAAAACCATGATAGGAAAGAAGACGAACTCTATAAGAAGTAGCAAGCGTCATCTGTTATTTACCTTTGGGTTACAATCTTTGCAGGTCGCCTCATTTAATTTGCACGAGCGGAAAGAGAGAGGCGCTTCCTCTCCCATGTCCCACTTTGTGTCCTTGGCTCAAGTGGATGAGTCACGGTCTCTGGAGACTGTTTCCTCCAACACTCTTCTGCGCAGTTGAAGTTCAGGAGAGTGTTAGTACCTTTTGCCGCAGGCCAAGGAGAGTTCTCCCTTATCTGCCCTCCTGAATGGCACACTTCTAAATATGTCACTCACTAATAATAATGAGAAATACTAACTGCTGTATGTTGGAGGAGGCAGAGCGCTAAGCATTCTGCTTGCTAATTTATAAACTTGGCTAGTAATCCCTAAATTTAAGAGACAGCATGATTTCCCCCTTTATACAGCTGGGGAAACTGAGGACACATGTTTCGTAAATAGAAGAAGAAGGATTCAAGCCCTTCTTCTATTTACTGTGTTCTTGCTCCCTGAGTGAACATCCTATACTCCTTACCACTGCATAAATTCACGTGAAGACTCTTCCCCTGAGCCCCCTAGGGGTACTAAAAGGCAAATCTGAGCTGAGAGCCTATTTGTATTTTATCAGTGTAGTTTCATTAAAAAAAAAAAAAAAAAAAAAAAAATCCCAGTTTTCTATATGCTTGTAAAGTCTGAAGATTTCTATTTGTGATGAAAGGATTTGTGTTTCAATCAGAGACGCAGTGAAGAAATCTAGAGTAGGAATTCTTAGTGTAATTTTGAGGCCTTTTTCATTGCAAATGGATTCTAGTATTTCTACCTATATTTTTTTCATCTGTGTTTTGTAAATTTATAGCCTTTTATAGCAGGAAATGTGTTTATACATGTTTACTAGTGTAGCGGTGTATGCTATTTCGGTGATTATCTATTCTTATGTTTAAAAACATTGTACAATGAGTTAAACTTTACATGTTGCCTCCACATTCAATCATCTTAACCTGGGAAGGCTGAGGGCCTGGGTACTATGATGCTATTGAACACATGTGCAAACAGAGTCTGTGCCAGGTGGCTGATAAGTGAAAGGACAGGCATAATATATGAATAGCCCAATTCACCAGAAAAAGATAAAAATGGCCCTTAGACATATTTTTATTTTTACAATTTTTAAAGGTTTTATTTATTTACTTTTAGAGAGAAAGAAAGGGAGAGAACATCAATGTGTGGTTGCGTCTCGTGTGCCACCTACTGTGGACCCAGCCATGTGCCCTGACTGGGACTCAAACCAGCAACCTTTCAGTTCACAGGACAGTGCTCAATCCACTGAGCCACACCAGCCAGGGTCCTTACACATATTCTTAAATGTTCACAGTCATAATTAGAGAAATGCAAATTAAAACAATGCTGGCATATTTCTCAGCTATCAGAATAACAATAATTTTTAAATAGAACAACATGTTTTAAAAGTGAGGGAGACTTTGGGAAAGCTAATACTTTCATATGTTCCTGGAAGGAATACAAATTGATATGACCCTTCTGGAGAGACGTACAAAAGAATCTACACATGTATTTACTTTTTACCCAGCAAGTCCACCTCTAGGAATCTATGCTGAAGGTACAATTCCAATAATATAAGTGGGTATGTATACATGGGTTAGCATACATGCATATGTTTTGTAGGCCTATGCACTAACATATCGTAGAAGCAGTGGCACCTCCAAAGTAATGAGCACACTTAGCCCTCAGATCTTGGTTTCTAACCACCATACTCCAATACAAGGATTTAAGGCTCCTTGAAGAAGTAGTTGATTTCAGGGCTAGAGCAGGAAAAAACCACCATTAGATATACACCATGCAATAATTTTTGCAAATGAGATCCATTGACGGGTGCTAAAATTAATCAGCAAAATTTGGAAGAAGAAAAGATATTTTGGGGGCTGTAGTAACCCTTAGGCTTGACCCAGGAGCTTGACGGAGCAGCTTGGAGGAGCTGCTTCCAGGATGGCTCACTGGCTTGGCCGCTGGAAGGCCCGCAGGACGCAGAAGGTGTCTCCCTCGGGGCTGGGTGATCCCCGGGAGAGAGCCTTCTATGACTTACTCCCTGAAATCCCATCCCATTTCTGCCTGTTCTGTATTTTTAGATATTTTAAAACCACACACTAGAAAGAGCCCCTCTAGCCAGTAGCCCAGGACTTTTTCCTCCCTATGAGTCACCCCTGCCCCTTTCATTGACTGCCCCGCTCCCAGTTTTGGTTTCTCCCTCTGTGACTTGCTCCAGGGCTGGTCCTGGGCAGGGTTATTGTGACAGGACTAATGTTAACCCTTCCCTAGCCTCTCCCATGAGGAACCCTTGCTACCCTCAATCAGATATGAACCCCCCCGCCCCCACTTTCTGTAACAAATTGTTCGGAACCCATCTGGGAACCCATCAGACTTTATAAAGCGTCTCTAATAGCAACGGTCATATTGTATTACAGTTATCACTTTCCACGTCTGTCTTATATCGCACTCATATCTATATCCCCAAGGTCTATCATGGTGCCTAAAAGGTCCTTAATGGGTAAATGGCTTTTCTTTTGAAATGTAAATACACTTAAGGACCTCCTAATTTAGCCATCTGTGGCTTTGTCTTTCCTAAACTGAAGGACAGTGGGGAGAGGTCTCCTTCAGCCTACTGCCTACTTCCTATTCTCACAGGCAGAACTCTAGGGAACTTTTCACAGATTGCATTCTTCAGGGAGCAGAGGGTTGTTTGCAAGGCTGCTGGGGACTCTGAGCTATGACAATGAAGACAAGCAGCCCCGCCCAGCGAATGCCAGGAGTGGAAAGAGAGGCTGGGTAAACATTCTGGGCCCAGAGTAGACAGGAAGGGACGACCTTGACCCCTGGATCTCAGCGCCCGTGTTGGCCAGAGATTGCTGTCAGTGTGTTTTGCCTCATCTCCTGACTCCTCCAGCCTCGGCTCTCGTTGCCCAGCTACTTCTGGAAAACATCTGGATGCTGCTTCCTGGAACATCTGTTTCTGTTGCAGGCCCTTCTTTTTGGGTCCTGTTTCTCACTCCCCCCATTGCTGGTACACACCTGTCCCGGGCCCCACGCAGGGGCCTGCAGGGCTCGCCCCCACCTTCACACCTCACTAGAGGACTGGGATTTGGGGTTCCCTTCGCCTCTTTCTCCCGCTGCCGCCATGGGCGGGTAGGCACTCCAACCCCTGGCTGGCCTCCTGAGGGCCCCGCCCAGTCAGGGCCTGGTCTCCAGCCCGCCCGACCCCTCCTCTCAGCTTTCTGCCCGGGGCAGGTGAGGCCCAGTAATCTTGATACATGGGCAGAACCCAACTTGAGTAGGCCAACCTGCTGACTTAGTTTGTCTAACGTTGTTTCCTATGGAGAAAAAAATGAAACTACCTAAACGACCTATAACAAACTTCATTCTTCAATTAAAAGTGTTTCTAAAAAGTGATAGAATTTTTACATGGGAAGGAACTTTAATGATATTCTATCTCCAGTTATCTCATGTTGCAGTTTAAGAAATCATGAGCCAGGTGGGTTAAGTAGTTTTGCTACAGTCATGTTTTCTGCTGCAGAATCGAATATTCTAGCTTACATCATTGCACACTGAGTACTAAATCGACAGTGTTTCTGCCAGGATGGAAACTTTGAATTATTCTAATACTGTGAATTCAATTGTATATGTTATATTATACTGGTGCATAATATATGGGAATTATAGTACTTTTCTTTCTGACCCAGATTTAGGTCGGTCTCGAGAACTGCAGTATGTGTACGTGGATAACAACATCCACCTGAAAGGCTTGCCGTCCTATCTGTACAATAAAGTCATCGGGTGTAGTGGGTAAGGCGGATTTCTCATTTCATCCTATAGCACGACTCTTTGGCTGCCTTTGTTTCTATCTCATTATTTGGTCTTGCTCTAACTCAGGAAGAGATGAACTATTTTGATAATCCCGTTCAAGTTTGCCTTTGGCCCCCCCTATGCTAAATCACATACCTTTAAAAGCTAAGAATATTGGGCACGCAGTTTAGAGTGTCGTAATGCAAGTTCGGTCAGTTAGCTGGGAGTGGTCAGTACATTGTTGGTCAATTTTCAATCAGAAGAAGAAAGGGAATCTATGCATAGCATTATAAACTCAGTATCAGTCACAGGAATGGGCGGCATCAGCATTAATTTAAAAGCTTTTCTCTCTCTGCACTCCTCTGCACTGACAGTTTTACTACAGTAACACCGTGGTATCTAGAACTTGGATATATTTAGAACTCAACATTTGAAATAGCCCCTCAATACAAACCATGATTCTAGCAACCAAGGCAGATATTTCAGTTAATGGGAAATGGCAGGCGCTTATTTTCAGAGCAGCAATAATTTTCCTTTCTCAGTTGGGCTTTTAAAAAGACGGCTTCAGGGCCCCGGCTGGTGTGACTCAGTGGATTGAGCGCAGGCCTGCGAACCAAAGGGTCGCCAGCTCAATTCCCAGTCAGGGCACAGGCCTGGGTTGTGGCCAGGTCCCCGGTAGGGGGCGTGCAAGACGCAACCACATAGTGATGTTCTCTCCCTCTCTTTCTCCCTCCCTTCCCCTCTCTCTAAAAATAGATAAATAAAATCTTAAAAAAAAAAAAAAAAAAAAGCTTCAGCTCCTCCTACAACAGTGAGACAGAACCACCTGAAAGTGGTTCTCAGAGTGGTCTGGGACTAATATAGGACAGCCCAGCCACCAGAACCTGCCTTGGACTGGCCTCGCTTCCCTCAGTGGGGCAGCCAAAGGACCCGTGGAACACCTTTGAGGCCACTGAGCCAGCATGTCCGACTGTCCTTGTTATCCCCAGCACCCTGCATAACCCGGCTCATGCGGTGTGTAGTTGTGGCAAGAAGAGGGAAGACAGTAAGCTTATACATAGAGGACAGCCATTCCCTGCGGGCGTGGGCCCCGGGAGAAGGCACTGAGCCGCGACTGCCCCAGAGAGGGCCAGCCTAGGAGTAGTGGCCTTCCCTTAGGGGAAATTACACAGCTGTTATCTCGGAAGAACCGTAGATGAGTTCAGTGCCAATGTAGGCTGATGACATACAAGCTTGGCGATGTATTCCAGAACCTTCTGTGAATCAGCGATAACAGAATGTGTGGTGAAGGTTTTTGGCCCACTGATTTTTCTCCAGCTGATGGGACAGCTGTGATAATATAGCCTAATTCCTCCAAGGTCAGGAGTAAAACGCCCTCAATCTCCAAGACGCAAGGAATGATGCAAGCCAGCTCCAAGGACCAGGCAGTGTTTCCCGCACCAAACAAAGTCCTCAGGGGCTGCACTGAAAGGCATGCCGTCTCTATCACGATTAAGATAAAGAGCCTTCCACTTTGCTGTTTAGATGTGGATGTTATTGGCTGCCAGAAAGTTCCCTTTGTTCTGAGCAGATATTTTTTAATGCTTGACTTGGTATCTGGTAGGAGAGAAAGTGAATTTTCTGGAGAGCTGCAAACCTTTGAGGAAATAAATAATGTGGCAAAATATGCAAATTTTTAGCAAATTTTATTGTTATTAATGTCTTCCTTTGATAGTGGGAATAAGAAATACAATTATTATTAAAAGGAGAGTATGAAACATTCTGTTCTCTAATACTGGTAGTCCTGGAGTGTAGGCAGTCCCACTTATAAATGAACTTTGGTCTAAAGGCATTTTTAGTCTGTCGGTTTAACTCAGTACGTATTTCTTATAGATGCCGTTCTGGTGCTTCTATTCCAGAATTGAAAAGTCATATAACCCATTTTGCAACCACTTACACAATCCTTTATGGCAGAACATACTCAGAATTCTAGTAGATGCTGTCTACTGAAGCCTCGGCAACAGAATTAAGGACCCCTTTTTAAATTGCTTGTATCTGTTGAATATATGCAAAGCGATGCCCCCATTCCAAGCCAAAGTGGGGGCTGCTTTGGGAAAAAGAGGGTAAGAAATGGAACAGTGTCCCGAGAGCAAAAGGTTGTTAGTAGCCGGGAAAGCGCTCTTCCTGATTCCGAGCAAGGGACTCAGTCCACTTGCCCATTCAGTGAGTATCTATGGAGTGACTTCTCTGTGTGGTCACCCTGCCCGCACAGGGCCGAGCAGACCCACTCAGGACCTGCCCTCGTGGCCCTGACAGTCTAGCCAGGGACCCTAATGAACCATAAATCATTGAACTGACTTGGTGCTAATTCTCCATAAGGAGAGGATATTGAAGCTGGGAACCTAAGGCTCGGGCGCGCTTTGTCCCCCACGGACGGCACATGCGGCGTCTCGCCCCCGCGTGGGCCCGGAATAGACGAACGCAGAGCTCCTGGAGTGCTGTGTTGTCTCGGAAACAAGTACGTTCCTCCTTTCAGATGAAGAGTCCAAGAGACTGGGGCAGCAACAGAACACAGGGACATAGCTGTGGGAGCCCATGGCGCAAGAGAAAACAGTCTGAGACACGTACAATTCACACCGCAGAAGGAAAAGAGAGAACCGGGTGTAAAACATATAAACAAGTATTGAAATAGCAATTAACAGCTATTGCACAGTTCCAAGAAATCTCAGAAGTCTCACCAAGTTATATTCGATATTCATGGAAATGTGAATAAAGTCAGCACTTCCTTGTTATATGCTCACTTATTTGTCAAATAACTGTTGCTCATTAACTGGCAGCTCATACTGCGCTAAGAATTGTGGAAAAGACAAAGATTACTTCGATGTTTATCCTAATTTACAAATGTACAAAAGTAACTATAATATTTTTTTAAAATATCCTAAGAGAGGTAGAGTGATGGAAATGTAGAGCACGGGACCGTCTTTTATGACCGAGCTTTGAAGTCACACACTGTCGTTTCTGTTACATCCTGTTTATTACACAGGTCAACCCTATTATTCATTGTGGGAGGAGGCCGCCTAAGGAAGTGGGCGCTGGGAGCAGAGGATCATAGGAGCCCCCTGGAGGTCTCCTCCCAGAGCTCCCTTGCCTTTTGCTAATCTCACAGAAAAGTATAATTTTAACTTTGTGGTTGTTAAATTTTTATGACAGGAGTAAATGCCTTCAGTTCTTCCACATTATACCCAGAAGGAGAAGTCCCTCCAATGTTAGAACTATAGACAGTGCTAATTGGCGCAGTAGCTTATTCAGGAAAACGTAATGGTAAACATGGTTCCGCACCGGGGTTACTCTTCCAGTTGCCTGCTTACACGAGAAAAAGGAAACAAAGCCACTGCTTTGCTTTTTCTTATGTAAATAAGCAATTATAGCTGGCTTTATTGGTTACATGACTAGGTTAAATGATTTGTTAATATAACCACTCAAGATAAGAGAATTGTTTGTGTAAGAAATGCATTCTGAGTTCTGAGTTAAACGAGTAGATTAAAAAATACTTTAGATCACAGTTCATTTTTATGCGGGACTACCTACACACGCCGAACAAGCAGTGGTAGAGATCTGAAACGCTCCCTGCAGAGATAAAATCCAAAATATGACTTTAGTCAAAAGACAGAATTTGCGGTTTGATTCCAATGAAGTAAAGAATTGATTATTACAACAAAAATACTCATATTCTTTGGAAGTTTTAGAGGAATATAACTGAATCCAGAGCCTCTACAGTATAACTTTAACTGTGTTCAGGGTATAGTGTACAACCCAAAATTATATAACATAGGAAGAATAAGGAGAATTCTCAAGGAACTAAGGACATAAGTCTCATGGGAAAAGCCAATCAGCGGAGGCCAACCTGAGATGACCCAAGATGTTAGAATTGACAGATAAGAAATTTAAAGCAACTGTTCTCAGTGAAGTACAGTAAGTTTGCAGTGAATGAAAAGACCAGAGAAAAAAGTAGAAAACATAAAAAGGAAAACAATGGAAGTTCTAGAGTTGAAAAATATAGTAACTGAAATAAAAGTTTTACTTGATGGGCTTCACAACAGAATGGGTACAACAGAGGAAAAGTCAGTGAACTTGTAGGTAGATCAATAAAAATGTTTCAGTCTGAAGCACACAGAGATAAAGGATTGAAAACAAGAATGAGCACAGCATTGGGGACCTGCCGGATAATATTAAAAAGTCTGATGCTTGTAAAATCGACACCCCAGAAGGAGAATAGAGAGAGAATGGGGCAATAATAGCAACAAAAATATTTAAAGAAGTAATGTCTGAAAATTTTCCAAATGTGATCAAAGACATAAATTTACATTTTCTATAAGCTCAGGGAACCCCAAGCAGTATAAACTTACGAAGAAAACCATGCCAAGGCAAAGCAGCTGAAAACCAAAGATAAAAAGAAAACTTTGAAAGCTGCCAGAGAAAAATGACAAATTGTCTACAGAGGAATAATTCAAAAGACTGTTACCTTTTTATCAGAAAATTCGAAGAGCAGAAAACAGTGAAACAACATTTTAAAGTGCTGAATAAAAAAAAAAAAAAACAGCCAACCTAGCAACCAGCAAAAATACCTTTCAAGAATGAAAGTAAATTAAATGCGGCCTCAAATGAAACAAAACTAAGCATTTAAAGGAGCCTCTGCTAAGATGGCAGTTAGACTCTGTCCAGTCCCGGGCTCGTCCCTTCTGGGCGGCAGAGTTCGCTCCTTTCTCCACGCGCACTTCTCCTCTTTCCTTTTCCTGTTATTTCAAGCTGGGGGGCGGGGAGGAACTTTTGCTAAAAAAGAGGATAAATCTGGTAGCAGTTTCCATAATAATGAGCTTGCAGATGATGTCCTCTACCTTCTGAAGGATAAAATATAATAAGTCAGGTGCTTTTGGTAAGGGAGTTTAAACTCATTCTTTACTTTTAACTCTTTGTTCAGTGGAATGGTCAGTGTGAAAAGACATGAATTAATTGGCTAAGTCACACACATGTTTTGGAGTATAAACTCAGTGGCAAAAGGACTTCACTATTCATTTAGCTGGTTTAAGGTTAAGTGTTGAATAGCGGCTCTGAAAACGTTGAGTTGAAAGGAAATTATGTGATAATTGTTGTAAGTTATCTTGTAACTAAGCCAAAGGTACTAAGATTTGTAACAGATTTTAATACATTTTAATAACTCATTGAAGGGTTCAAATGTACAATCTTTTTGTAACCATCTGGGCATTTAATCTGAATTAAAAAATAAAAACTCTTGAGTTAGAAATCAAAGATACCAAGACTTAATAACTGCCAGCTAATAACTATTGCTTTTCATTGTGAACAGAAGCATGTCATGGGGCTTCCCTTGCTCCTTGCGGGCCATTCATTTCATGACTATTTCTTGCCGCGATGAGTGACGCTAAGCAGATACCTTTCCAGCCTTCTCTCGCGCTTGGCTCTCTCTTCCGTGTACCTGACACGCTCACCAGTGGCACCTGTTCGCTTAACCCACGTGCCCTGTGCATTTACAGAGCTGAGCCCCCGCTCCCTTTGCTCGAGTACCACCGTGCTTATCTTAGTTTGTAACTCTACATACCTTCAGAGCAACATCTGGACCGGCGTTGGGCCAAATACATAATCTGGGTACCGTGGCCCAACCAAGTAGGTACAAAAATTTAGCCATCCCAGCACGGCAGTGTATCATCAAAATAATCATTTATTATAATAATAAAAAGACAGCACAGCTATAAACTCTACTGTGTGCCAGGCAATGTGCTCTTGGAGGGACTTACCCGAAAGTTGCCCATGACCCTCCCAGCAACCTGTGTGATGTCATCCCCTCGTAGAAATGAAGAGACTGAAGCTCAGAGAGATTAAGTGAACCGTCCCCGGGCACGAAGCGAGGTAGTGGTGGAGTTATCATCTGCTTCATTGCTTATGCTCTTAACCGCTGAGGTGCGGACACCGCCTCTCTTCTCCTTGGTCCGGAACTGCCTCTGTACATTTGAGCCCTTCTGTTAGCTCCTCGAGAGCAGAGGCAGGACAGACCTTTCTCTCTCCTGCATCATTTCACGTAGTAAAGGTGGATATTTGATCTCCGACGAGGTCAAGGGAGGTTGGCCATGGCCAGCAGAAAGGTCCCCCACGCGTGGGACTTCTCCCCCGCAGCCTGCATTCTCCGTAGCTGCTGCTTTTCTCTCACATTAGGCAGAGAGATATATAATAGATGGGTCCTAAAATGGATTTAATTAGCTCTTGATACCCAGTGGTGAAGAGTAGGAACTTCTGCCGAAAGAATTGTCAAAGGGAAATTAGACCTCATACAAAATGAGAATCCACTTACTTGTTAGCGTGAGCCTTTTTAGTAGTTTTGTCTTTTAAATCTTGGAGACCAGTAAAACATTAGGAAAAATCTGGTTTTCAGTTCTCTAAACTTTTATCTGTTACTCTGCATTGTTAAGTTCTTCGGGTGGTGTCCACAACTGGGTTAAGAAGCAGCAGCAGTTAAGGCCATAAGAGTATGAAATAAATATTCATGAATAATTTGCTTGCTTTTTACCCTACATTTTCATTGTTTTATGGTTTTGCTCAGGTTTCTCATACTACAGTGCGGCTATACAATTTGGAAACAAGTAATATTATTTTACCATGTGTTCTCCATAGCAACTGAACCAATGGAATGGGGCGAGGGGGCAGAGAGGGAGAGGGAGATTGGTTTGTTTCAAGGAACTGGCTCATATGATTGAGAGGGCTGGTAGGTCTGAAATGGGTAGGCAGGTTAGAGACCCAGGGAAGAGCTGATGTGGCCGCTTGGGTCTGAAGTCACTCTGGAGCCAGAAGTTCCTCTTCCTCTAGGGACCTCAGTCTTTTTCTCTGAGGCCTTCAACTGATTGGATGAGACCTACTCATATTATAGAGCTTCATCGGCTTTATTCAAAGAGTAGTGATTTAAGTGTTAATCTCATTTCAAGAAATACCCTCACAGCCACACCTAGACTGGTGTTTGACTATATATCAGGGTACCGACCCAGCCGCGTTGATACAAAAATCTAAAATCTAATCATCATACCACGTAGTATAGCATATCATCAAAAGAATAATTTATTGTGTATTTACCTGTTTCCAGACTTAATGGCCACATGGCATAATGGCATTTTGGAGATAAACCTCTCATCTTCATTTTCTCCATATTAGGAAAGAATTTAGATTCATTTCCTTAGCTTCACAAATGGTTCCTAAGAGTAATAGCTTTCTAACCCACAGAAATACTCGTATGTTGTCTTCTAGGGTTTTTAAGGGTTTACATCTAGGTTAACATTTAGGCCTGTGACTTATTTTGAGTTAATTTTTGTATATGGTGCAAGGTATAGTTGAAGTTTCCTTTTTCTTGGCTATGTTCTAACAGCGTTTGTTAAAAATAGTATCCTTTCTCCACTATATTGCCTTTGTACTTCTGTTGAAAATTAGTTGTCTACATGTGTGAGTCTATTTCCAATTACTCTCTCTGCTCCATTGATCTACTTGTCTATTTGATACCAGTATCATTGTCTTGATTACTATGGTTTTACAATAAGTCTTAAAATCAGGTGGTATTAGTCCAGTTTTTTCCCCCAAAATTGTTTGTGCTAGTTGTTTTGCGATTTTTGATCTATTCCGAAGTGCATTTTATTGAACCCATGGGAGACATTCTTTTATGAAAAGCAACAACAACTTCAACTAAAGTTGTCCAGGCGCGCGTTGTGAAACAAACCAGCGGTGACAGCCACTCTGACCTAACTAGAGCACAGACACCCGACTTATCCCACGGTCCACGTGAAAGAGTTTGTTTTAGAGTTTGTTTGGTTTTTTTTTTCAATTTCTACTTAAAAAAAAAATCCCTGCTGTGATTTGATGGCATTGAACTGGAGATCAGTTTGAGGAGAATTACCATCTTAACATTATTGAGTCTTCCAACTCATGATCTCAAGGAATGTCTTCATTTCTCAGCAGTCTTTTGTAGTTCTCAGTGTAGCGCTCTTGGACCTCTTTTCTCAGATTTATCCCAAAGTGTTTCATCGTTTTCCTACTATGGTAGATGATATTTAACAGATTTTCCATTTCCAGTTGATTGTTGCTACCATATAGAAGTACCAATTTTTTTAAAATATATTGATCTTGTATCCTCCAAACATGCTAAGCTCACTTATTAATTTCAGTAGGTGTTTGGTAGAATCTATTGGACTTTCTACATGCAACATGATGTCTTTTGGAAATAAAGACAGTTTTACTTCTTCCTTTCAAATCAAGTTGCCTTGTATTTCTTTTTCTTGCTTTATTGCACTGACCAGAACTCCAGTACAATGTCAAATAGAAGTAATGAGAGCAGATATGTTTGTCTTGCTGAACTTACGGGGAAAACAGTCTTTCAGCATTTAAAATACTAACTATTGTTTTTCATAAATGCTTTTTATCAGAGGAGTAAATTCTCTTCTATTTCTAGTTTGCTGAGATTTTTTTTTTTTTAATTAGGAATGGGGATTCAATTTTGTTAGACTGCTTTTCTGCATCTGTTTAAGTGATTATATAGATTTTCTTTTTTAGATTTTAATATAATGAATTACATTGATTTTCTACTATTAATACAATCCTGATTAGTAAGATAAACTTCATTTGGTCATAGTGACTTGATATATTGTTGAATTTATTTTGCTAAAAATCTTTCCAGCTATGTTCATAAGTGATACTGGTTTTTTGTTTCTCTTTTCATGTAATGTTGACAAAAGGGCCCAAAGAATAGTTCATGTTGTTGAAAAAGGCAAAGCTGACCTATGATGTTAGAATTCTGAGTAGCAGCTCCCTTTGGGGTCTGGGGTTTGCCTGACAGAGGGACCCAGAGTGACCTTCTGGGCGTCTTTTTCTTGAGCTGGGTGGAGAAGTTGGCCGAGTGAAATCAGTTGAGTTCTAGGTCCGATAATGTCCCCTCTGTAAAGCCTTCCCTAATTCCCTGGACAGGGCCAGTCACTCTGTCTTCTCTGACCAAACATTAGAACAATTATATTGTAATTATTGCATTTTCCAAGGAAAGGGGGTCCTCTTGGGTGTTTGTTTGTTTGTTTCATTAGTTTCTTTGTTTAACTTAAGCATCTTGGTCGACTGGCATAGGTTAGGTCCTCTGGAAACATTTTCTACTGGAAGGAATGAGCAAATGAAGGAACTTCCTCATGAACAGGCGAGCTGAGAGCGTCTCTTCAGCCCCACGCTCCCCGCTTCATTGCCTGTCTCTAGTGAGGGTTAGAGATTATCCCATGTTATGTCTGGAGAGCCAGGGTTGCTGGCACCTGCTTGGCATTAGAGGAGAGAAGTGTGAAGACTTTTAAGTAACTAAGTGGCCTCGACAGGAGGGAGAGTCAGGTCAGACCCCTGAGTTTTGGTGACCACGGAGCTGGAGGGACAAGGGCTTCTCTGCCATCTGCTTACGAGTGGCTTCAGGGAACAGGGTGTGACTGGCCTTATTCAGTTGCATTGCCAGGAATATTTTCCCCACAAGTTTGTGCAAGGATCCAATAAAGTTATCTTGTACCATTAAAAATCTGTTTACTTTGTAGGGTATTTTCCACACAAAAAATCCTATTAAACCAAGGTACTACAACTTAACAGAGTGTCCTTTTAATTTTGAAAATTTCAATAAACATTAACTTGGAGAGGGTCATAAAATGAGGATGAATAGAGCTTACAAAACAAATTGTGTAGATCCTGTGAAGGAAAGTTCTTTCAAAGTTTGTCCTTACTGGAAGTAACTGGACCTCGGCAACGATCTCAGCCGAGCTCCAACTGATGAATTTCAATTTCTGTGCCAGGTTTTATTCAGGCACGCGGGAGAGCATCTGTTCGCTTTGAAAAGAATCCTGGCAATTCAGCAGCGCCTTACAATTTCAAACGTATATTTTGATTAGCACATTTTCATTGGCACCTCCAGCCCTTTCCCTTTTCGCTAATACGACTGAATGTGCGTCTTTCTGCAGCTGTGGTGCTCCCGTCCAAGTTTCCGAGGGGAAGCTGCTCTCCTTTTCATCGGGCCAGCTCACCGTGTTCCTCCCCGCCGAGGTGAAGGCCATCGGCACAGAGAGCGACCACGTCCTGCCTCTGCAGGAGCTGGCCATGAGGAGTCTGCATCGCACCTACCACGGTTTTCTGAAAGGTACATGGGACTCCTCCGTGCGTCCTGCTCTTCTTCCGTGAGCTTAGAAATTGTCTTTTATGCTCCCTATTTTGGTGGGGTTGTTTTTTTTTTTTTATTGTGGTGAAATACACAGAACATAAAATTCACCCTTTCATCCACTCTTCAGTGTTCCATTCAGTGGCGTTAAGTACATTCACATTGTTGTGCAATGGGACTTTTTAATATAAAAAAAGTTTTCCTATTTTATCAACACTTCCCTCTATAGACAGAGGCGCATTCACTAAAATACAGTCTTCAGTCACAAAGGACAGAGGTTAAAAGTTAAACTAAACTGTGTGGTTTAATTAAAGGAAGCTGACGTTTGGGGATTTATATTGGGTGGACATAAGATGCCTGGCAGGGGTGCTTTCTTCAGGAGGAAAAAATTCTCAAAGGTCTTAAAGCAAAGTCGGGGGCCTCTTCCAGCGGGGCAGGTTTTTGCCTTACAGCCTCCTCTTAGCTGAGAAATTTAGATACTAAAGGAGAAGAAATATCAGGAAAATGGCTTCAGTATTGCCACAGTATTACCACAGCATCTGAGATGCTTTAAGAAAGGCAATATTAATAAGAGAAATATATTTAAAGTGTTTTAAAAACTGCTCCATGTTTTCTTTGCTTTTAAAAAAAAAAAAGGTCCATAAAAAATCTAACATCAGCCTTCCAGAAATGTCTAGTACGAAGTTATGTTTGTTATTTTTTAAACTAAAAAAAAAAAATTGCAATTATTCACCTACAAATACATTTGTATCTTTCTAAATGGCTATTAAGGCGGGACATATATAGAAAAGATGATAAGGCAATTTGTATTTTCCTCCCAAAGATGGGTCAGCGATGTTCAGGCTTCACCTCCTTATGACCATTTCACTTGCCACTAGCTGTTTGCCGTCAGTAGCACCCTGGTGCTCAAACTTGCCGGGACCCCTGGGATGTTTTGCTTCAGATATTTCTGTTGTGTAGCTCGGACCACGCTGAGGACGAAGCACCCTGTTTTGATTAGTGACAGCTCATGGGGCTGAGATAAGGAAAAGCTTGGTTGCACTATTTTTTATTTGTATTCTTTTCGGTAAATATGATTTAGCTTGATTGATTCTAAATGTCCAATAGATTTAGGAAGAACTGAACAAAAGTCTGTTTTAATCTTCAATCCAGTCCTTTTTTTGACTCTCTGTCTCTTATAGACGTTTATAAACCCTCCCTGGCAAGACCATGCCTTTTTGACCTGTGTTCTTAAAGAACACCTGGGCTTATGTCTTTTCCTTGCCTCTACCTCAGAGCAGCTTCTGGTTGCTCTTAAAAGAGTTGACTTAGGTTTTCTCTCAGTATCAAAAATGTAAAAACACCTTTCACTTCTAAATAATGTTAGGTTTGTATTCCATGCCTCACAGATAACGCAGTTATCAACATGCAGTACTTGTAACTAACTGAACTGACTTGGTAACAGAGAAACATTTTAAGAAGCCTAGTATAAGGAAATCTGATTTTTTTTTATTGATGCACGCTTTTCTCTTGTGTTCCAGATTTGAACTTTCTGTCTCCCATCTCATTACCCAGAAGTCTCCTGGAGCTGCTGCAATGTCCCCTGGGGCACTGTCACCGCTGCAGTGAGCCCATGTTTACAATCGTCTACCCCAAGCTCTTTCCCTTGAGAGAGACGCCGATGGCGGGGCTGCACCAGGGGTAATCACGCCGAAGAGGGCACCGGGGCTGGCACCGGGGCTGGCACCGGGGCTCGGGGCGGGTGCCGGGGCGGGGCGGAGGACAGGCGCGGAGCACCGTGAAGTCAGCAGCCCCCAGGGGCATCGAGTGCTCCCTGAGACACAGCTGAGTGACGCAGGCACGGTTTTAGCATCACAAGAGAAATGGTCTTCTTGCCTTTATTGCCTGGTTGGTCACATGCAGATCAATTTCAGTGCATGGATTATGTGGAGCAGCTCACTCTTTGCAGACGTGCTCTCCTGCTGTTCCCCTGCTCACGGCAGTCTTCAGGCAATACGGGATGTAAGGACGAGACGTTTACTGTACAATGGGACCGGCCCGGCCCTTCTCTGTAATTGGTGCTGCTAACTGAAAGTGTGTGGCTGAAGAGACAGTGTGTGTGTGTGTGTGTGTGTGTGTGTGTGTGTGTGTGTGTGTGTCTGCTCTGAATTTCTAACCCTTCCAAATGGCATTTTCTTGCCACTCTGTTTCTTGGCACAGTGCCTTGAATTTGCTAAAAATGTTCACTAAGTGAAAAAAAAAAAAAAAAAAAAACCCTCCATACTGGTAGTTTAAAAAAGAATACCAGACAATTAAAAATAGGACATCAAATGAAAAATCCCCCATTAGCACAACCATAGCATATAGATTTTCTAAATTTAAGATTTTCTAAGTTTGCATTTTTCGAAGTTAAAAAAAATGAAAAGAGTACTGTAATGCCTAACTTTTCCATCAAATGTGGTATTTTCAGTTAGTAAATTTTCCAGATAACTTGTTACCTCTATTCAGTGCCTAGAGGTGTTTCCTTTGTAATCATTTTTATAGAATGGGAGCAAGCATGGGCAGGGTGCCGAACCTCTCTGAGCCTCTGAGCCTCCAAATGGGGACAAAACAGGCTGCTAGGCAGGGCCATCCTGAGACTTAGCAGATGAGGAAGGCAAACACCTGACATATAATAGGTGTACAATGATGAGAATTACTGTTTCCATCTCTTTACCCATTCCCACCCCAAACTGAATTTCTCTTTTTCTTACCCTGATAATCCTATTCTGCTATACTTTCTTTTTTTATTAAGATTTTTAAAATTTATTTATTTTTAGAGAGAGAGAACGGGAGAGAGAAAGGGAGGGAGAGAAACATCAGTGTATGGTTGCCTCTCCCATACCCCCAACTGGGGACCTGGCCTGCAACCCAGGCGTGTGTCCTGACTGGGAATCGAACCGGTGACCCTTTGGTTTGCAGGCTGGCACTCAATCCATTGAGCCATGCCAGCCAGGGCGATATACTTTCAGAAAGTTCCTCTTTCAACTTTCTATAGTTTTAATGTGTCCTGGTTTCCTGTGCCTGCCTTGGGAAGCCCTCCTCCAAACCTCTCTAATTTGTTCCTTCTGATCCTAGATGATCAGATTGCTAAAGGTGGTAGAATTCCATTTAAATTGGAGTTCAAAGGACCAAGTCAGGGTCTGAATGTATTAGGACATGAATAAAATATGAAAGAGACACATCTCCAAGAAGCAGTGGTGCTTAGAGGTAAAGTGCGCAGGCCCCGGTAATGGCCCCTCCACTGGGAGACCTGGGGCAAATCGCTTCACCTCCCTGAGCTTTACCTTTTCATCAGTGAAATGAGCGTAGCAATAATATCTATGTAATAAGGTCATGGTGAGGATTAAGTGAGGTGATTCATGTAAAGAGCCCAGGATGGTGCCTGGTATGTAATAAATACTAAGTAAATGTTAACTATTGTGTATTTTTGTAGCTCAGAGACTTTTTAAAGTAAATTTATTGAGGTGATATTGGTTAATAAGACTCTAGAAGCTTCAAGTCTACAGTTCTGTCATATACCACCTGTATATTGCATTGTGCACTCACCATCCAAAATCTAGTCTCAAGTTTAAAAAATGTGTGTCTTTTTTAGCAAATATTAGTATTAATAATAGTATCTTTATATTAATAAGATATCACCATAGGAAAGTCAACTAATTCATTAAACTATAGTAAAATCCTAATGCATTCTTATTGCACAATTTCCGATAGAAGATATTTTCTTACCAAAATAAGAAAATGAAAACAGTTCAGTATGGTCAGTATCCACTCTTAGTACAAGATAAAAGTCTAAATACTTATTTGAAAATATAAACTTTCTTTACATCATGGTAACTAATTTCTGAAGGTAAAGTAGGTCCTTTAAATGAAGTCATTGTTGTGTTCTCTTCATATGAAATTTGGGGAACTTATTTAGTATTTGCATATTCCATTTACTTACACTTATTTCTAATTTCTAGAAATTCAGTGTGCATAATCTTATATGGCTTCAGAACATAAATATAATAGTATCAGTTTAACAAAATGCATGTATCAAGTACCTAGGTCTTAGACAATGCCCTTTTGTTGAGCAAAGCCAGAAGTGCCTGTGTTTATAGTGGAGATAACATGCCAAGGTATAAACACGGCTTTCTGTGGTGAGTGAGTGCTAGGGTCTGAAACTGAGAGTTTGTGGCTTTCACTTGGTCCACCAGACTTTGCGCCTTCCCGTGTTGCCATGGAGACTGTATTAAAACCATTGACTTCAGTTTCTACCATAGTCTTTAAAGGACTTTTTTGGTAACTGAAAATCAAATACTCAGATCTCAGTAGCTGATTGCCGAAAGTAAAATCAACATTTTTAATGTCATAAACTCTGAAAGGCATTGGTAATCTTATTTTTTAAGTTTTCTAATGTATTTAGTTCAGTTTGCGTTGCTCATCTTAAAATAATACACTGTATCAGCCAATGGTTAAATTAATGTGGACATCTGGTATTATTTTAAAAGAACATATTGAATATTCTTATAAAATACCAAGTCCCATGCAAGTGTTAGTTCCAACCTAAATTTAATACAGAGTGAAATAAAAAGAAATTACTGTATTTTTACATAAATAATAAATACCCAAACCTTCAAATATCTATAGTAGAGAAGAAAGGTTGGTATATATGGATAACTTTTGACCCTTGTAGGGATCGCAGATTTTCAGTCCCAAATCGTATTGTTCATTTGCTAAAATGAAGAACATTAACTTCGAGGATTATTTATCAGGATAACATGCCTCTTGCTCTCCCTGTGGGTGTATGATTCTCACAAGGTCTGCATTTCCCAGTAGGAAATCAGGCTACCAAAGGCTTTTCAAGGGTATTGTGTTAGTTTGCTGGAAATACCACAACCAAATATCATGAAACTGGGTGACTTAAGCAACTCTTGTGTCACCGCGCTGGAAGCTGGACGTCTGAAGTCACAACGCTGGCAGGAGGGGCTCCTTCTGAGGGCTGTGAGGGCGCGGTCTGTCTGGTGGACGGCCGTCTGCTCTTGTCATCTCTCCGCGTCACTGTCCCTCCACGGATGTCTGTCCCTGTGTCGAGATTGCCCCTTGTTATAGGGACACAGCGATACTGCATCGGGGCCGCCCCAGTGATCTCATCCCAACTTAAGTGATTAGGCCCGTAATGATCCTGTTTCCAAGTAACGCCGCTGTATCGCTCGTCTCCAGCACCCTCACAGCGTACTATGGATTGGGTGGCTGCAACAACGGACTGCGTTTTCTCGAAGTTCTGAAAGCAGCCCAGAATCAGGGTACACACGGTCAGGTTGTGGTGAGCACCCCCCCCCCCCCCCCCCCGGTGTGAAGACCCAGGAGGGCCCCGAAGTTAGGACCTCATCCAAACCTGACGATGTCCCAAAGGCCTCCTCTTCAAATACTGTCACGTTGGAGGTTAGGACCTAAACATATGAATTGGGGAAGGTGGGTCACAATTTCAGTCCATAGCAGTCACACCGAGGTATTCAGCACTTGGGACTTCAACATAGGAACTGGGTACGTGCAGGGGAGGAGGGGATACAATTCAAGCCGTAACAGGGTTCCAAAATCTCATGTCCTTCGCACATGCAAAATAAATTCACCCCACTCTGACACCTCCAAAATCCTAACTCATTCCAGCAGCAATTCCTAAGTTCAAAATTTCATCTTAAATATCTACATCAGATAAGGAGGAAAACTCGGGTGTAATTCTTGATGGGAAAGAACTTTCTAGCTGTGAGCCTGTAAAACCAGTCACCTGCTTCCAGGGTCTAACGGTGGGACAGGCATCTCCTCCCATTCCATAAGCTGCCTTTTCCTCTTAATGATTGCTTCCTTGGCTGTTGAGAAGCTTTCTAGTTTGAGGAAGTCCCACTTACCTATTTTTGCTTTTGTTGCTTGTGCTTTTGATGTCATATCCAAGAAATCGTTGCGAAGACCAATGTCAAGAACTTTTTCTCCTATGTTTTCTTCTAGGAGCTTTATAGTTTCATGTCTTACATTTAAGTCTTTCATCCCTTTTGAGCTGATTTTTTGTGTAGGATAAGGGACCAGCTTCATTCTTTGCATGTGGATACCCAGTTTTCCGTGCACCATTTGTCAAAGAGACTATTCTTTTTCCATGTGTATTCTTGGATTCCTTGTGGAAGATCAGTTAACTCTCTTTGTGGAGGTGGGGCGGGGGGGCGAGTATTTCTAGGCTCTCTATTCTGTTCCATTGATCTGTAACCTGCCTTTATGCCAGTACCATGCTGTTCTGTTTACTGTAGCTTTGTAATATATTTAAATGTTTTTAAAAATATTTTAAAATCTTCTTCAACAGATTTAAGTAAATTGTTCTTAACTGTTTCTTCCTCATTGTATCATTCAATAATTATGTCTTGACCATCTGCTTTGTGCTAACTCTGTATTATGTATCTGGGATTAAGCTATGACCAAAACACTTGATACCTCTTTTACCATACATTATCTCATTCCTACATTTCTAGGACAAGGACCTATCAAATAGAGAAGCAAATATGTAATATTTAAGGATATGGCTCTGCACACAGAATCTTCCAATAAGAAACAGTTAACATAAATGTAACACACAGATACAATATGGTAGTAGATGAGTCTACTGTAAATTAATATGTACACAGGCTTGGGTGTTTATCTGATCAACTCTGTCTAATATTATTTTTCTTTTGGCTTGCATTTATCTATGAGTCAAGGATATGCTTTTTGTTTCTAATCAGGAAACACATTTGCAAAGAAAATACCACATTTCTTATGATTTTTGTGGGCTCCAATATCTGCCAACAAAATTGTGATTTATTTTTTTTTTAGAATAGTGGTATTTCTCTATTTTAAAAGTAAGCTGAAATGCTCTTTCTTCTGCCTTGCCTATAAATATGCTCAGATTCTAAAGCAACAAATGTCATGTCTGATGTTCTTTGTAGAATTTATGAGCATCCCTCTCCTAACTGTGCAGTTGATTGCTTAGCTCAAAGTATCTCCCCTAAAACTATCATGTCGCTAGTGCCATAGTTCCGGCATTTTTAAGGAACTGACCAACATAAATCTATTCTTAATGCAGTAGACTTGTTGCTATATTTGTAACAACTTAGATCATTAATGCAACAGGCAAATATCATGTTATTAGATGAGTCTCCCAAAAGTGAACAGCACACAGACTTGGTATTTCTTTGTGGCACAAATAGGACACTTCCAGGTTACCCACAGTATCCCCTTCAGTGTGCATTGTAAGGAGCTAATGATGATCCAGTGGGCATTATGCATCAGCGAATAAAAATCCCACATCTCTATAGAGTTGGATTTTTTTTGCTTAGAACTTTTATTTTTAAAAATGTTCATCCTTGTGGTATGGAATTTATCACTTCTATGAATGATGTTTGCTTAACCTAATTATCTTTCAGAAGAGTTAAGTTAGCTGATCCTCAAAAAAGCACTTGCCATTTAAAATCATTTTGTGTCAGTTTTCTTTCAGTTATGATTGATACAAATATGTACATCCTGGTGTAGCAAATTATCTGAATTCCACTTCTAACCAATACATTTTTTTAAAAAAATAAGATAATACACAGTGTCTAATAATTTAAAATTTATATAATTTCCTGAGTTAAGAAAATCTCAAAAGTGATGCTTGCCTGTTCATTTTCTTACATGTGTAATTTGCAAAGCAGATGGTTTTAATTTTGATGAAGCTAAATTTTCCATTTTAATTTTATAGATAGTGCTTTTTGGGTCCTAAGAAATCTTTACCCAACGTCCTGAAGATGTTCTTCAGTGTTCTCACTTCCATTCCATTGATCTGTGTCTGTCTCTCAGGCAATACCAAACTGTCTCATTACTGTAGTTATTCTTCTCTTTCAGAAGTGTCTTAACTATTCTAGGGACTCTGCTTTTCCATGTAATTTTTAGAATAAGCTTATCTTTGTCTCCAAAAACTCTTGTGCTGGATTTTGATAAGAATTGCATTAAATCTATAGATTAATTTGGAAAGAATCGACACATTTACTATGTTGAGTCTTCCAATGCCTGAAAACATCTCTCTCCCTCTCTATTCAGGTATTCTTTTCTTTCTTTCATCAGCATTTAATCATTTTCAGCACACAGATCCTTAAATGTTAAATTGATACCCCAGTATTTCACTTCCTTTGTGTGAGTATAAATTCCCTTACACTAGATTTAAATTTCAGTTTCCATGTGTTCCTTGTTAGTTTATGGAACCATGGTAGATTTTAAAATTTTGATCTTATGTGCTTGCAACCTTGCTAAATTTGCTTAAGAGGTGAGGAGTATTTTTGTAGATTCCTTGGCATTTTCTGTGCAGTTATGTTATGCCATCTGACAGTAGGGATAGTTTTATTTCTTCCTTTTCAACCTCTATGGCTTTTATTTCTTTTTCTTGCTTTATTGCAGTGGTTAGAATTTCCAGTCCTACGTTGACTAAGGTGATAAAAGTAGATTTCACAATAAAGTATGATGTAAGCAAGTTTTTATTTTTTACAAATTCTATTTATTAAATTGAAAAAGATCCCCTCTGTTTCTAGTTTGCTGAGAGTTTTTAGCATGAATAGATACTGTATTTTGTCAGATGCTTTCTTGGAGTCCATTGATACCATACAAATTTTTCTTAACCTATTGATATGGTGGGTAACATTGATTTTCAAATATTGAACCAGCCTTATAGACCCAGAATAATTCCCACTTGATGTCAGAATTATTTTGATTTGTTGTAAATTTTTATTTCCATTCATTCATGTAAGGTTTTATGCTTTGAGACCATCTCTGTAACCCATGGGGAAGTGGTCATTTGACCAATGGGTTAGAAAAGGTCAGAGAACTGTGTTGTTTAATTTTCACGTTTGGAGCTTTTCCTGTGGTCCTTCTGTTACTGATTGCTAGTTTGATTTCATAATGGACAGAGAATATGCTCTATGATTTTTACTTATTTTATACATAAGTTACTCTTTATTCTCCAACCTCTTGGTGAAAACTTAGGTTATTGATTTTAGAGCATTTTTTTTTCTATTATGTGTGTTCAGTGCTAAAAATTTCCCTTTAGTACTGCTTTTGCTGGGAAGAGGACTCTCAAACTCTATTATTCAGATTCTGAAATTACTTCTACAAGCAATCTCTGTGAATACATTTATAGGATAAAGTCCTTAAAAGTATATTTTTTTAAGTTCTCGGGGGGGGGGGGGGGGTGGTGTGTGTGTGTGTGTGTGTGTGTGTGTGTGTGTGCGCGCGCACGTGTGCGCGCGCTCATTCTAGCTAAATTGATGAGGTTTTCCATTGCATGATTTTTATAATGTATTTGAAATTCTGCCATTGCACTGTTGGTTCTACTAAGGAGAATTCAGACTGTAACATGAAGAAAGCTGGTTTTTCTTTTGCAGTTAACCGAGGGCTGTGATGTCATCTGAAAACTGCTAACCAAACGATCACACACAGGCCTAACCTGATTCCAGGCTAGGCGCTGTGTTGACCATATCTAATCCTCTGTTTTAACAAAGAAAAAGACTGTCTGATGGAAAGAATCCTGAAGCTTTAATCTTGAACTCACAGCGTTCTCCTCTCCCTTCTTCCCCTCTCCCAGGCGGACAACGGTTAGTTTTGTGGCTTACTGCTGCTCCGCCCAGTGTCTGCAGACTTTTGACCTACTGAGTTGATAAACACTCAAGAGCCTCAGGAGTGTTGCCAGCCTGACACTGCAGTTGCCTGCATGTCACACGCTGTTTGGGCAGCAGAGGGACGGGAGAGTCCGGCCGGGCCCAGCAGACCCTTCCATCCTGTCCTGTCAGACGCAGGGGACCGCAGAACTGCCGGGGCTTCAGAGCTGGAATGCCTTCACCCTTCCCCCAAGTTGGAATATACCCTCCCCCAAACTAAGGACCCTTTGTCTTGTGTGTTTTTCTTGTTTATTCAAGTGTCTCATATGCAAACTGCTTAGTTTGATGTGACTCTCCAAATCTAATTCAAAGCAAATTTCAGTTCCCTGAAGAACTATAATTCGATAATGTTGGCAAGTGAACATTTGAACACATATAACTCGGTGACACTTCTAATTTTCTCTTTCTTCCCCCAGAGGAAAATTTCACCCGGAGGTTGTCCTCCATGTTTGTAACAAATTGGAGCAAACCCCACGGCCTCACCAGTATTGGATAGTAGGGGTGGGGGGTTGTTCCCGAGTTGGCATAGAAGTTAGACCCCAGTGGCGGTTCCGAAGGGCCCTCTCATGCACCCTCTGCAAAATCACAACCATGTTTAAAAGTTTTGCAACGTATTAAGAGACTTTTGTGAGGGATTTTAAAAATAAAAATGTAGGCTATAAATAAAATACACTCCTATTTTGAAAGACTAGTCACTGAAAAATAATTTTTTGAAATGTCTGATTTCCCGATAAGATTTTTTCCTATGAGAAGAGTTGGAGGCATTTTTGAGGCTTTAAAAGATCTGATCCTTTTCTTTCTGGGTCTAAACATTTTCTGGCTAAGGAGAAAGGAGGAGGCAAATACATCAAAACGTGACTTACGGTGTTTCTTGTCCGTTGGGTTTATGATTAAATTTATAGTGACTGAAATATTTTTGTGACGTGAAAAACAGCCTTCAGCTGGTTCTGCTGCTGGTTTGGAGCAGGGTGGCTCTGAGTGCGGCTTGCGCACATTTATTTAAATACCTGATGCATTAGGTTACCTTCATTGCTCCCCTAGATTTCTTGTGCACTTAACACACTGCTGTCCAGATACCACTGAGAGGGCACAGGAAAAGCAGGTCCACGCTGAGTCTTGGACTTTTGGAAAAAGGCCGTAAATGGGAAATCCACGATTGTGCCCTGATAGAAGAAATGCTCTTAATGGAGGAGCCCCTTCTTTGCTCCTCCTTTGACAGAATGGCATTTTAACGTTGCTGTGCTGCCACATGTTCTTTACATGGCTGCAAAGTGGCTCTTTTACGTTTTTACCTGTTTTTATCAGACAGCGTTGCCTCTAAGGCAGGACGGGAAGGGGGACCCAAGAAGGTGTATCGGGTAGGAAAACGATTCTCAAAATAATGTCAGACTTGTCTAAAATTTGGTTGATGGAATTTTGTTGGCTGGCCTACCTCTGTAATGCTAGGCTCTGCACTAAAAATCCCTCATGGTTACTGACAAATGTGTGATCTTTCCAGAGTCACACTGCCTCCTGCCCGGAAAGCAGGCTGTCCCCTAGAATGGGGAAGGCAGAGCGTTACGTGTGTTCCGGCTGTATTTCCACTGTTCCCACTTCCTCTCGTCCCTTTCATAATTTGGTCTATTGAGACTTCAAAGGCTTGTAGCACAATAGAAACGGCAGGTCTACATGAGAATATAACAGTCCTTTCATCCTTTAGAATAATTGAAGTTTTAGCATAACCTCTACATGTCTCTAAGTTGGCAGGTGAAAAATGTGGCAGGAACCTTCCCAAATGGGACTCAGGCCTAAGTGGCTGCTGCCTGTCATTTAAGTGACAGTAAATATATTGTAGCATCTTTCTGTTTCACTCTCTACAATCATGTCTTCGAGTGAAATGTGCTAACTTGATATTCAGGATTCTCATTGTTGTAAGGATATGACAAAATATTTTAATCCTCGCCTGGGGATGTGTTTTCATTGCTTTGAGAGAGACAGAGAAATTGGTTGCCTTCTGTATGTGCCCCAGCTGGGGATCAATCCTGCAACCTAGGTATGCTCCCTGCCTGGGAATCAAACCCTCTACCTTTTGGTGTACAGGATGATGCTCCAACCAGCTGAGCCACACCAGCCAGGGCTGCTTGTTTGAAATTTCACAAAGACACAATCCCAGTGTCCCACCTATTGTAAACAATGTGCATTGAACACCAGCAGCGGGCAACCTTGGGGCAGCCTGAACCTTACCCATTGGTGCAGCACCCAGCTTAACTGATGAGAGACGCAATTTGTAGTTGGCTTCCCTGGTGCTGTTCATTATAAAAATTTTGTACTGGATTCACTGACGTCATTCTTAACCTTTTGATATTATATAGGAGTATTAGAGATTGGAGAAAATCTGCCTACATGTTATGTATTTGAATTACGTGCAGAACTTTGCAGAAAATTCTAAAGTTATATTGTCTTTTTTTTTTTTTTGATTAACAGTTATGCTACATAGAGAAATATTTCATGCAGTTAGAGTAATGCAAAAAAAAGTGAATTACTTGGAAAATATAGTCTCTTCAGGTAAGTTTACATTAATAATCTGATATGTGGTTGCTGGTAAATTTTAATATGCAGAATAGCCTGTTAGGCGTGGGCTTTCTTACGCCATAGTGTACAAGACGATCTATTTTAAGCAGAGTGCCCTGTCGATGTTATTCAAAATGCCTAATTGTTATCATACCCAACTCCCAGATGACATAACATTGTGTAGATGAAATGTTGCATCTTCAGTGAATAAAATATATATTTTGAGCACACTTAAAAATTATTTAAATGATCAATACACACAAAAAAGCTGTGTGTTGCTCTTTGCCGCAGTCTGGCTGAGGGAGGACGCAGTCTGCTGAACAAAGGAAAGTGACAAACTGCAGGGTCACCCCGCCTTCCTCTCCTGAAAAGGCAGGTATGCTGTCAGCCCTTCTGGTCAACTGACTCGCTCTCACCACAGACCTTCACACTCTCGCTTTCCTTCCACATCTCGCATTATGAATTAACATGGTTACCATCCAAGGAGAAAGGCTTCCGTACCAGTTGGCTTCTGAGGCTTTGAATATAGGTTTCCCGGAAATGTGTACCTGGTTTGGAACCGCTGGGGACGTGCAAAGCTAGTGTTGAAAATTAATAGTAAAATGAGGTTTCTGTTCCCCAAATTAAAATAGCAGATGTTTTTATGTTTACTGTAAGAAGATGAAACACAATACATTGCTTCAGAAATCAAAACATTTTTATTCAGCTAATTTATGAACATGCATTACTAATTGGGCCAAACATTAATGCAACCCGATGTAATTAAATATTAAAATGTAAGTTCATGTCACAGGCTTATAAACATACTTTCTTTAGAACATTATTTTAAAATGTGTTCTTACATAACTCTGGGCATTTTCTTGTACTTTTATTATTTTTGTGGTTTCTACCAACTCTTGCTTACCCCTAACAAAGCTCCCCTACATTTCTCCAGGAATTTGGTGAATATCTTGCCTTCTCTTAAACAGAGGGGATTTGTATAAAGTCTCAATTGTTGAAAGAGCTCTATAACTCTCTAAAAATTATTCAGGTCTCACTGGGCCTTCCCAGGAAGTCATTCCCGGTGTCATCAGCCAGTAGACCTGAAAGGATGTAAGTGTCTCCAGGAAAGGGATCGATGGCAGCTCAGTGACTGTCATTCTCTGTCAGGAAAGGAGTTTGCTGTGCAGCCTGGAATGTTCTCTTTGGAGCTTGCCTCAGCAGACCCTTGTCCTTCAGAGTCAGAGAAGAGTGGGCGGCCCAGCATGGGAGCTGGGGACAAGGTGAAGCATTTGGAGGTCACTTCCATGTGTAATTAAGACACTTGCAAGTTGGCCGGGTTTGTTTATCCACTCACCTTAGAGGAGGGTGTGGATTATCTTTGTTAACTGTGTCGATGAGTATCAGGCTGTGTTGTTTTTTTTTTATAGCAATTTGGAAACTATAATCAAGATTTTCTTTCTTCTTTCCTTTCTTTCCTTCCCTCCCTCCCTCCCCCTTCCTTTCTCTCTTTCTGTGTTTTTCTTTCTTTCCCTTTCTCTCTTTCTTCCTTTCTTTCTTTCTTTCTTTCTTTCTTTCTTTCTTTCTTTCTTTCTTTCTTTCTTTCTTTCTTTCTTTCTTTCTTTCTTTCTTTCTTTCTTTCTTTCTCTCTTTCTTTTCTCTTCTCTTCCCTCTCTCTCTTCCTTCTCCTCCTCCTCCTTCTGTATAATGAAAGGATTTTGTAAAACTCTGAATCCACATACTGGAAAACGATGGCAACATTTATTGGTTGAGTGTGGACATTTTCTAAAACTCATACTGCGTCCAGTTTGGTGGTTCTTACAGCTACTGCTGTTGATAAAACAGTTGAGCCTGAACCATGGGAATGCTTAGAAATGTCGATGGTGGTAGCTTTATTATTTTAACAGTATTCATTTTGTTAAAAAATAAAACAAAATGGTATTGAGTACTTGATACTAGCAAAAATGGTAGAGTAAGGACTTCTGAAAATTCTCCCCTTCACAAAAGCAACAAGAAAATTGGCAAAAAAAAAATGTCAGAATCAACTTTTTTCAGAACTCTGGAAATTAACCAAAGACTTGGAGCAATCCAAGGAATATTTACTTGAGAAATAGCTGAACCTCAGAGCAGTAACATTTGTGGCATTTTAACTTGCCCTCTTTCCATCCCTCCTTCCTTCTAGCTCTATCGTATCCTTGAAAACAACAGCCCACAATCGAGGTAGAAGCGGCAGCGTAGGAGCCACTGGAGGGGTGAGTGGGGTTGGAGCTCTTTCAAACTCTTATTCCCAGAGAATTCTCATTATTTGACTTGTCTGGTGGTGTCCTGGAAGACCTCACTTGCAAGGCTGTCTTTATTTTGCCTGATCAGAGCTTGCCAAATGTGAAAAGCCTTTTTCACAGGGACGTTGGTTGGGGAAAAAAAAATCAGAGGCCCTTGTGGCTGTCAAAGCAGTGAATAACCATAAGAGCACACAGTTGGCTAACCAAAAGCATAAAAGGAAAAGCTGAGGAAGGAGATATGTGCAGAGACTTTGTAAAGCTCTCACTTCCCTGGGAATTTAGATATGCGTGCATATGCGTGGGGCTTTTCACAAGCCAAGGGTTGTATGCCCATCAGGAAAGACCTGAGAGCAATAAGCTTTTACCTCCCATTGACCCTGAGGATTTGCACAAGGATGAGGCAGAGCAGTCAGCTTCCTGGCTGAGTGTTGAAGGGTGTTCCAACATGCACGCGAAGGTCTCAGCGAAGACTGGGAGAGTTATTGGTTTCGGGTGTTTAAGGAAATCCCTGTCCAACTATTAACTCGCCACAAAACTACCTGAGCAAGACATCAGTGTCTATACATTACAAAGAAAAGAGACTTTACAGAATTAGTTCAGATGAGTCATTAAACAAACAAAAACCAGCAACTACATCAGACCCTTGGCAAGAGGGTAAGTGAATCTAATTTCCAGAGTTACCCCACGATTATTTAAAATATCCAGTTTTCCTAAAAAAATATAGACATTCAAAGAAACAAGAAAATATGTCCCATACACAGGGGAAAAAGCAATCAATAAACCGTACCTGAGGAAATCCAGACATTTTTGACAGTGACATTAAATGAGCTATTTTAAATATGTTCAGTGCACTAAAATTTGAAAATGACGTTTCACCAAGCGGAAAATATTAATTAAAAGATAGAAATCATTTTAAAATACATAAATTCCAGAGGTGAAATACACTAACTGAAATAAAAACTCCTGAGGTGCTCAGCATTAGATTTGGGCTGGCAGAGGAAAGAATCAACAGGTTTGAATGTGGGTCAATTGACATTTAATTTGAGGGACAGAAAGAAACAAGAATGAAGAAAAATGAAGAGCGCCTTAGACCTGTGGTACACCATCAAGTATACCAACATATGCATAATGGGAGTCCCATAAGAGGGGAAGAGGCAGAGGAGGAAAGAATATTTTTTAAAATAATGGTGAAAGACTTTAAAATTTGATGAAAACCTAATTTACATACCCACATAAAGGTGCTCAAGATCATTTGTCATCAGGGAAGCACAAATCAAAATGTCAATGAGATACCACTTCACACCCACTAGAAACAGAAAGGTGGACAATAGCCAGTGTTGACAAGGACATGGAGAAATTGGAACCCAGTTCCTGGTAGGATGTATGAACTAGGTAATGCTGCCTCAGCTGTTCTGGAAAAACGGATGGGCATTTTCTCAAAAGGTTAAACCTCGTGTTGCCATATGACCCAGCCATTCTACTTCTAGGGATGTAAGGGAGTTGAAAACACATCCATGCGAAAAAGAAAAA